GTAAATTCTTGCGTCATTCTACAACGTTTATCCCACGATTGGTGATTTATAATCGATTAATTGCAATTACCACGATGAATAAAATAATAAACTTTGAAAAAAAAAAAAGTTGTAGAAACGAGTGGAAATTTTATATATCTCTCTACAACTATTTCAGACAGGGGCAACATTAGTTTCTCTTTCATCTTCCAAGGAGTAAAAACTTGCCAGAGTGCGCATAAAATTGTTCTCGAGTTAGAAGGGAGTCTAATTAACGCGAGCGGTAGCACATGATGTTTTCATCGCAGTTTAAAAACCGTAAAAAAACTCTCCTCGCAGACCGCGTCTGGTGGAAAAGGTCGAGGGAACGACTGCGTTTCAAGATATGGTACACGTAATTTCATCTTTTCTCTTCTTTTTTTCCCCCCCTCTCTCTTACTCTTTCTTTCGTATCTTTTTCCGTGGTATTTCTATTAACGAGGAGAAAATCTGAAACTGAATGTTTATTTTTCGAATCATTCGATTAATCTTCACTCTTTTCTATAATTTATAGATAAAATCTAATAATGTTGAAATTAATCAATTAGTTCAACATTATACGTTCCATTCAATTAATATTTAATTAATATTCAATTCATATATCATTATACAGGTTGTTCCAAAAATATTGGAATGTGATTGGTAAACTCGAGATTCTCGAGGTAATTTCAAACAATTTTCGTTAACGAGCTATTAACAAAAAATACTAGCCTAGTCGAGTCGCGACGGTTGGTTACTGGTTACCGATCGAGCACGAACAAATCCAAACAATATACTTCGAAGAAAATGCGTTCATAAAATTGAACGAATATTTTTCTATCGATAAAAAATTGTATCGCGAACAATGAACAAATAAATGAATATAATATTCACTTTGTTCGAGGCATGTTGTTTCGAACGCAAAGTCGTGCAAAATATTGCTTGAAATTATTTCAGAAATCTTTCGATTTAGAAATATTCCAACGATATTCTATATATTCGTTTTCTAATCGAGAATCGTTTACTCGACATCAGAAGCGTGACTTGTTTCTTAATTTTTTCCAAAATGATTCGAAATTGGGAATTATTATCGCGCGAGGTTGAGTATCGAGGTTGAAGATAAGTTTGCTCGAAAAGTTTGACACGGCTAATTTTACGGCCCATTAGACTCTCGTTGGCAGAGGAATAAAGCAACCGTTTGATGCGAACGCGTGAAGGAGGGGCGGGGCGAGGTGGTTCATTTCGCCTCGCGAAATGATTTCTTGGAAGCAAAAGTGGTGGAGGGTAACGAGGTAAACAGGCTGACGAAGTTACAGCGTTCGCCACGAGGGGGAAAGTTCAACGAACGCTTCCTTTTACGATTCAATTTCTGTTTACTCTCGCGTTCTACTCGAGCCTCCCGGATGAAAGAAAGAATGTGGGTCGTTGTAGGATTGGTGAAGCGGTTAGATCACGATTCATTCGACCCTCGTTTCGAAAAATTGTGCAACAAGAGGGATTCAAAGATTAAACAAACGAACGTTGATTTTCAATTTCATCGTCCTCTCAATCGCTCAAATTTACATTTTTCTCGCCATTTTTTTCATTATTCTCATATATATATTTTCCAAATTATTCCTTTAAATTTATATCTATACGATACACCTACCCATTACCCTTGTTGCTTCGATAAATTTTAACATTAGAATCCGAAGTTTAAGCGAATCAATCGCAATAATTAAATCGCAATATTTCGTCGCGAATAAAAATTAAATTAAATTAAATTCCAAGAAACACTCGATTAATATACCATTCAGATATTCAACTTACGTTTCACGGGAAAATATTCTCTTTGAGCCGCGAATTAGGAGGTAAAGAGATCGGAGGGGGCTGTGTGACGGTTCGCAAGGGATAAAAGGGTTTGGATACGATCGGCAAACCCATCGATTCGCCTCGATCGAGCGGCCAAGCGTATTTAGAGCACATCAAGCACAGCGCAGCATCCTCGAAACGCTGCTACCACTTAGGGCGCATCCGGCGTTGCAAGTGCAAGACAGGCGTTCGACGGATGTTCGTGCACCGAAGAAGAAGAAGCAGAGGAGGAGGGGGAGGGGAGGGGAGGTCTTTGCCCGCCGCTCTAATGGCGGATGTACGCGACTTTCCCCTAATTTGCGTCAATTGGCGAGACACGGATGCCAGCTTGAGAATAGAAAGAGGAACGCAGGAGGAAGGAGGGGAGGAGGGAGGAGTGTGGAGGACGAATGGCCACACGTCGCGTGATAAATTGAAATTGCTATCACTGTGGCCGTCTTGATATTCTGACATCAGCGTGTATTATGTAACACGCTTACTGTTGCACTTGGAACGCGTCGTTTAAGCCTGTGATGACCGATGCTGCGCTCGTGGCCACGCGGAAATGCGCCAATAACGTCATCGTTGAGATTGGAGAGACGAGAAGAGCTTATGACATTTCGTCGAAATCGCTCTAATTGCAGAGAGTTTTATTATAAAAGAAAATTTTATTAAAAAAGTTAAAAATGTTAGTGAGTATATATGGATGATACTTTTTGGTGATTTTTAGATATAATCGGAAATTTTTAGATATAATCGGAGTTCAAGGATTTGGTATTTTTAAATTTAGGTTTCATGCGAATATAGGAGCCGAGTATTCGTAAAAAATTTTTAAAAAATCGGTATCTGGTTATTTTTAGAAATATGGTATAGTTTAGTACCTTTCACACGAATATTTTGAAAAATTAATATTTGAGTAGATGTGGCAACGTACAGATTAAAATTATATTCATACGAATTGAGTAACAAAATTAGTCAAAAATTAGTATTTGAAATATTTTTAGATATGATAATATGATTAGATCATATTCATACGAATCAAATATCAAAAATTAGTATTTGAAGTATTTTTAGATGTGATAATATGA